AAGGACCACCCGGGCTTCGCTGTCGGCTCGTTCACCTCGAACCGCGAAGTCCTCCCTGCAGAGAAGCTCCTGCGATCAGGCAGCAGTTACTACCTCCATCGGGTTACCAACTCAAACGGAAGCTCCGACCTTGGGAACGCCGACGATGGGTCGTTTAGCGGGTTCCCGCGCACAAGGTCTTACGCCAGTGCGCCGTCGATTCGCGGCGATACCCCCAGCCCCGAACACCCTTCGCAGGATCTCCGCCAGGCGTCGCAATCGCACCCTCAAAGCCACAATTTCCGTGACTTCGCTGGTTCGCTGAATTTCGTAAGATCGTCGACCGTGTCCCGCCGCGCGTCGCTGGCAATCGATACGTCCACTCGAGGGATCTCAGAAGCGCCAACGCCGCACCGTCAGCAGCGACAGCCGAGGCAGCGATGCAAGCACGAGCAGCAGACGTATCGTTACGACGCGATAAGCCCGAAATCCCCAGCAACTCCCAGGGTACCCAGTGTTATCGGTGCGAGCACCCCATCATTCTCGTCCTCTTCGTCCATCTCGCCATCCCCTCTACAGCTTTCGCCACGTGGAGCCACTAGCGAGCTGCTGAGTCCGCGTTACCAGGACTTCGCGGCGTGGTCGTCAAGTACCGCCTCAAGCAGCAACGGTGACCTGCCCAGGGTGCACTCAGAAACCACCCTCCGCTCACACATCACTTCCAGCAACCACCCATCTTGGGAGGCTGGTAATGTTGGCGATTTTGCTGCGACGCCTGCAGCTCCAGTTCGCCAAAGCGGGGTTCAGGGACGTATACTCAAGTGGAAAATAAGGGAAGATACGACGGCGACTGCCAAGGGAGGCCGCCTCTCAACTTGCGCAGAGGATCTAATGGCTACGCGGCTGTTGCTGGCGGGATCCTATGGCAACAATAATTCTAGGGCTAGCATTAGTGGAGTCCCTCCATTGCACATGAGGAACGGCTTCTAGCATGGCTTGGGTAGAAGCAGCTCGTTGTTCGTGCTAGTATGTGAGTTGGGATCTGCCCCATGATAGGTTCTATACTCGTTTATCTAATAATGCTGAATGAATATAAATGTTATCACCTTGTGGTCTGAAACTGCAATTGCGAATGTGCATAATTTTCATGTACACACATATTGTAAGTAATATCAACCGTTTCAATACAGCTGTAATCTACAAATATTTTTCGAGTAGTAATCGAGTACTCGACAACGGGAACTACTCGAGGCAACACTGAGCTCCTGTTTAGGTTCTGTCCCAAATGCCCAGCTTCCCTCATCACAGGCTGCAGGTCGCGTTCTGAATGGCTGCTGCTGCTGCTTGCAATCATCTTCAAAGGTCGCGCTCAAGCCAAGCCGCACATTTGCTTTGTACGCGTGTCTCTCAATGCGCTGCTTGCAGGTCCGTTTTAGGTAATCCGCAACAGCTGTGAGAATCTTAGGACGCCGCACCCTAAACTCACCTGAGTTCCTCGCCAAAATCAGCCCGCCAGAGACTCTCACTTACTTGAACCCCAATTGCCTTAAACGGCCATCCCGACGACGTTTCGTGAGATTCCTGATGAATTTGATGAACACTGGAAACGGCGTTTCGCGACATTGCTGACGGTATTCGGCCTTCTGCCAGATCCCGGCTGCACGTGTCTGTCCTTCGACGAGAGCTGCGTCATGGCTTCGAAGCGTCCCTCGGAGCCTGAAGCCGCGCCGAGCCTGTCGTCCATGGAGAATCTACAGCGAGTGGAGCAGGTATGACGAGAGAATGAGGAAGAATCAGGGAACATCGTTGCGCGTAGAACAGGACGTGAGAATCATCAAGAAAATCTACAGTGCGTGAATTACACGGTTTGACGGACGTCTGAAAAAGAAGAAATCAGTTACTCACGTTGACTCTTAGCGTGCACCTTGCCGATGCTCTGACGTCTCTCCATGTCTCTCCATGTCTCTCCATGTCCCCATGTTCCCCCATAACTCCATCTCCGCCGTGTCTCTTCGTGACTCCCCATGTCTCCCGATGTTGCCTTATGTCCCCCCACTTCTTCCACGTAACCCATATCTCACCTACCATTTCTTAAACTCATCAACACCATGAATGTACAACCAACAGAATCCGTGCTGTCACGTCACCCTGATCCCTTTCTGTATGGTTCACACTTATACCCTAACCGAATCTTCATCCATTCCGGAATTACCGCAGCGAATAATCGACGCTGTCAAATGCGCAGGCAACGTCATGCAGCTGCTCGGCCAATCAGGACCGTCCGCACCAGTAGGAGGCGGAAGTGGAGGGGGAGGTGGGCCTTCGCATCCGCACCTTCCAGGGAACGTTCATGGAAGCATTGCTGCAGGGGGGGGACCGGGAGGGGCAAACAGGAAACCAGAAATGGTGGCTGGGATGTGCCAAGATTTCATGCTGGCCATGCGGGTGAGCTAATATAAATTGTTCCACATGATGTTCCAACCAGCATGTGACACTTAAAAATCTACAGCTCCTTTTTTCCAGCTTGTTGGTACCTTTCTGATTTGTGCCTCCTTGTGTGTAAATATGGTTCTTGCAGGATGTTCAAGTGATTATGCGCAATGAGATCCGCATAATGTGTGAATACCGCTCCTATGAGAACAGTGACTATATGGAGCGCTTGCTCGCCGAGCTCAGTGCTGAGAAACTAGACTGCTTGGGAAACCGCATTCAGCATCTCCAGCAAATATTGGGCAATGATGGTGATGACGAGGAAAATGAGGAAGTTGATGATGGTGCTGGTGGTTACAAGGCGGGTGGTGGTGATGGTGATGCGGAAAAGCCCAGCACTAGTGATGGCACAGGGAATGAAAAGACGGGCATGGATGAGTTGCCTGGGTCTGTTAGTGGTGAGGGGCAGGAGAAGGCAGGAGAGAACGAAGAGGAGAATGATCAAGAAACGGGGCGATTAGAAGACGATATTGGTTTGCCCTCAATGTTTTTATCCATGCTCCCTGTTGCTAGAGAAGAGTCACCAGAGTAAGGTTTGCTTGGAAATGTTGGAAGATATATATGAAGGGCTTGTTCTGACGTTTATAAGACCTGTTCATAGGGTACAATATTGTAAAACATGGTGAGGTAGCTCGTATCAAGTCTGCTCAGTATCTTACAACCGTGTCAGTGACGCTCCCTCCCCCGGTTCTGCTCTGCTGCCTCACACAGAAAGCAACCCTAAAAGTCCCATAATTTCGTCCTTCGAGTCATTTTGTAGTCACTAACGGGTAGCCATTTCACAGTGCAGGTTTCCGTTTCCCAGAAATTTGCAGCCATGGATGACGAGGAGGCAGCGGAGATAGCTCAGCTGCGTCAGCAGCGGTCACGCCTTAAGGAGCGGCTAGAAAGTCGAAAAAAAGCCACCGCGTCGCTCGTAAACGACCTGCTGACGTCAGCTCCTAACACCGGCGGAGGCGGCGGAATTTCCGCCGCGCGCCGCTCGCCTTCGGTCGACGATGTTCCGCCTGTCGCTGCGACAAACACGGCGCTGGCGGCGACGGGGTTAACTAACAGCGCGAATGCCGGCGGCGCCGGCGGAGGCGGAGGAAGATCTGACGTGTCAGGCAGCGAAGGTCGCGACGACGGAGGCGACTCGAACGTCAGCTCGGGCGCTGCGGGAGCCACCGAGGCGACAGCTGGCGTTAGCGGCGGCGGCGGTAGCGGGCCGTTAACGAAACGGCCGCGGAAAAAAGGCTCCCTTCAGAACATTCTAGAAGGTTTAGAAGACGAGAAAGCGGGCCGCGGCGGCGCGGGAAAGCTTAGTGGCATAGTAGCAAGAGGAGGAGGAGCAGCAGCAGCGGGAGGAGGATTCGCAATTCCCTCTCGAACTGAAAGTCCGAACCTTTACGCGGGTCAGCAAACCCCCACGCCTCCGCCAATTGACACGTTCCCGCGAGAGGAAGACATAGTGGACGAGTCGCGCCGGCCGCTGACGTCACTCGAGCGCGTGGAGCGGCTCGTGGCTGCCGTCCTGCTGGCGGCCGGCACGGCGGTGCCTTTGGACTCTAGCGCGATAAATAGGAGATTAAAGAAGGATTTAAACCCCGAAAGTATAGACCAAGCCTCGATTTTAGAGGTCGGAGGGGAGGACGGGCCAATAGGCGCGCTAGAAACGGCCCTTAGGGTTCTTGCGGGGATGACTGTCGGGGGGGGGCGCGGAAGCGGGAGGCGGAGCGGGGAAGGCGGGGGGAAAGCGGAGCTGGAAGGGCGGAGCAGGGGGGAGCGTGAGCGGAGCGCCATTAGTGGAGATAGAAGAATTTGCTGTGGCTGGAGTGGCTAGGTTGATGGTTTTAGGGTTTGACAGGCTGGCGCTTTCGCGGATGTTTCCTGGGGCGACGATTCCGTCTGCAGAAGCTTCCCGGAAGCAGCAGGAGAGGGAGGAGGAGGAGGAGGTGGGGTTGTTGTTAGGTAGGAGGGGAAGAGGCGGCTTTGGGCGGGAGAATAGGAGGTTTGGGGTTGGAAGAGGGGGGATGGGGGGAGATGGGGGAAGAATGGGGGGGGACGGGGGCAGGGAGGGTAGGGACATGGGTGATAGGGAAGGATCCGCGCAGTTTCCTCCTGGTATTGCTCCGCATGGGTTTGAACCCGCAGGGCCAATGGGTGGGGTGAATTACCCTGGGGGAGGCAGGGGGTATTTTCCTGGCGGGGGTGGGCCAGGAGGGGGTATGGGGGGGAATTTCCCCCCTGGGGGTGGACCAGGGCCAATGGGCATGCATGGGGGGGGAGGGCCGGGGATGGGGGGAATGGGGGGAAGGCCCCCCTATGGGCAAGGGGGAATGGGCGGAGGTTTTGGGCCAGGAGGGGGAAGGGGGGGAATGATGCCTTATAACGAAAACATGGGTATGGGCATGGGCATGGGTATGGGGATGGGGATGGGGATGGGCATGGGAATGGGCATGGGCATGGGTATGGGTATGGATCATAGAATGCAAGCCCTTCCCCCTCCCTTCCGCCCCCACCCAAGTCTCCCCCCTCCCCACTCTTTGGGAATGGGCGGAGGGGGAAGAGGTGGCGGGGGAGGGCCAGGCGGAGGGGGGCAGGAGGCGGGGGGGAGATGGGGGAGGGGGATGGCAGCAGAAGCGGGGGACGGTAGAGGCGGTGGGGGGGAAACCGGAGGGGAAGGGGAGAAGGAGGGGGGGAAGGGGGAGAAAAAAGGGGAGGGGAGGAGCAAAGGCAGGGAGGGAGATGGGGAGGAGAACGAGGAGGAGGGGGAGGAAGAGGAGATGCGGGTGGAAGAGATTTTATCGAAGAAGTCGTTTAAAGAGATGCAGCAGTCTAAGCGGGGCGAGGAGCTATTAGAGCTGCTGCAGAAACCCACTGCTAAAGAGACAGCCGTTGCTGCACGGGTATGTATAGGAGGAGGCTGGGGGTATTTTCTTGGAAGTACCCACTGTTCAAAGAGATGCAGCAAGAGTGATGGAAGTAAGGCCTCCGCAGCCCACGTGTCCGTTACTGGCATGTCCTGCACGGGTACATGTATGGGGAGGCCTTGGGGGTTTTAGGATTATGGTCATTCTAAGCTGGAGCTGCTGCAGAGGCCCACTGGCAAGCATGCAGTTGTTGCTGCTTTGAACTTTGGAGAATTCTCACAAGTTCAATTAACTCAGCTGGAGCTGCTGCAGAAGCCCACTGGAGCCCACTGCCAAGTATGCAGTTGTTGCTTGCTGTTTTGGTTATTATCCTGGAGTGGAGAGATCTTTTGAGGCGCCTCAAAAGTTGATCCTGGAGTGGAGAGATCTTTTGAGGCGCCTCAAAAGTTGATCCTGGAGTGGAGAGATCTTTTGAGGCGCCTCAAAAGTTGATCCTGGAGTGGAGAGATCTTTTGAGGCGCCTCAAAAGTTGATCCTGGAGTGGAGAGATCTTTTGAGGCGCCTCAAAAGTTGATCCTGGAGTGGAGAGATCTTTTGAGGCGCCTCAAAAGTCTGTTTTTGTTATTGATCCTGGAGTGGAGAGATCTTTTGAGGCGCCTCAAAAGTCTGTTTTGGTTATTGAACCTGGAGTGGAGAGATGCCTGGTCTGGTTCGCAGGTTTGGAATCCATGGTTGTGTGTACTTGTGTGAGAAATTTGAGAGGAAAGAATACGGGTTCAGGTTTTGATGGCACTGTGAATCTGCAAAGCATTTTCAAATATATCGTTTCCTCTTTGTTGTTGTTGTTGTTGTTTTTTTTTTTTTTTTTTTTTTTTTTGAACGAATTGTGCACCTTCAACCCTTCCATAAACCTGAATATGCTGTGTGCCCCCCTCCAGTTCAAGACCAAGGGCGGGTCCATGGTGCGGGAGTATTGCAACCGGCTCACAAAGGATGACTGCCGCCGCCACCGCAACTCATACACTGCTTGCGACAAGGTGGGTGGCATTGTGGTGGTTGGCAAAAGAAACCTTCTACCTTTTAAACTATACCAGTATGAGCATACAGTTAGGAGACGAATCGTGTGTCCCTGTATGCACCTCCCCGCTCTTGTGCCTCTTCCTTCCCTCTTCTGTTCTTCTCCAATTTGCCGCGTCATATTGCTGCACGCATGCGCACTGATTTGAACCTGCCAAAACTGCGATGTTTTGCCTGCACTGCACCGCACACGAACATGAACCTGATGAAATGCGATGTTCAGTAATTTCTCAGAGTGCTGCAGTTGATAGGGTCTCTTTCTTTCAGCCGAAACACATGTTTGAACATGTTTGTCCTTGTCTTACTCTACTGCTAAGAGTTTGGATTCTGAGACTGCTTTGAGCACTTGGTTTTACACACAGCGGATTTTTCCGCTGTTGTTCTCTTGCTTGAGCCTACTACACAACTGCAGCTCTCTGAGATATGACTGGATAATGTACCTGCAGCGCACACAAACATGAACCTGATGAAATGCTGAAATGCGGGTGCAACTACCAGTCATCGCCCCCTCTCCTTTCCTTCCCTCCGTTGCTTCCTCTATCTCTCTCCAGGTGCATTTCCGCCGCATCATATCCCCTCACACCGACATGAACCTGGGAGATTGCTCCTTCCTGGACACTTGTCGACACATGAAGGTAACTAAGCTCCGTGACACCTGTTGACACATGAAGTAAGGTAACCAATTCATGTAGCCCCTTTGATCAAAGGAATCGCATGTGTGATGTGATTCTTTTGATCCATTGTATCTGACATGAATCTGGGTAGTTGCTGCTGTTTTGTTGATGGTGTGCTGGCACATGAAGGTAGTTTTTTTTTTTTTTTAGTCGACTTCACAAAGAAATTGCTGAGACGCCGCCTGAAGTTTTCCCTCCTTCCCCAAACCCCAATTCCCCCCCTCCCCCCACACGTGCAAGTACGTGCATTACGAGCTGGATCCAGTCCCAGACGAAGCACCCTACGGAACCATGATCCCCCCAGGGGCCGCATGCGGCCCTGCCTGCATGCATGTACGGCCACAATCCCTCCTTGCTTGAACTCCCTCCTTCTTTGATCCTTGTTACCCCCCCCTCCCCCCAGACGTGCAAGTACGTGCACTACGAGCTCGACCCGGTCCCAGATGGGGCACCCTACGGAGCCATGATCCCTCCAGGGGCGGCTCTACCCCCCGCCGCGGCTGCTGCTGCAGCCATGGGCATATTCGGCCCCCATGGGGGGCCAATGGGGCCGCCTGGCATGCATGGGCACGGGCCGGCCATGCCCCCTGTGGTGCAGATCAACTCGTTCGGGCAGTACATCCCCTCCACCATTCCAAGACCCTTCGACCGGCCTCCAAGGCCGGAATACTGCTCCCAGGTATGGATTCATTTATGGGAGTGAGTGGGGATATGGGTGTGAATGTGGGCATGGGCATGGGCATGGGCATGGGCATGGGCATGGGCATGGGCACGGGCACGGGCACGGGCCGGCCATGCCCCCTGTGGTGCAGATTAATTCGTTCGGGCAGTGCATTCCATCGACTATTCACCGTCCGTTCGACAGGCCTCCTCGGCCGGAAAACTGCGAGGGGCATCCCCATGAGCGGAGCTCTTAAAGCCTCTCTGTCTGCCTATGTGCGTTGCAGGTGGAGCTGGGGGAGGCGCAGTGGGTGAACTGTGACATTCGCAACTTCCGCACGGACATCCTGGGGCAGTTTGGGGTGATCATGGCAGATCCCCCGTGGGACATTCACATGGAGTTACCATATGGCACCATGGCTGATGATGAGATGAGAACACTGAATGTCCCGGTGAGTGAGTGATTGGCACCTTAAGCCCATCTAACCCCTTCATGGCGGACCCCCCGTGGGAGCTACCATATGGCACCATGGCGGATGATGAGATGAGAGAACGCTTAACGTGCCGGCGAGTGCTCTCCGCATGCTCTCTTGTCCCTGTCCTGCACTCCTCTGCGGTTCCCTTCATTCATGACGGACCCCCCGTGGGACATTCACATGGAGAGCTCTCAATGTCCCGGTGAGTGAGTGTGACTGTGTATGTGGTGAGGTGAGTCAACCCCGCTCTCTGCCCAGCCCATCACCAAGCACGGCTCCCTGTCGCCCCATCACCCCCTCCTTGGGACATTCACATGGAGCTGCCATATGGCATTTGAGTCGACTTTTGAGGCGCCTAAAATAAAAGCATTCACATGGAGCTGCCATATGGCATTTGAGTCGACTCAAATGCCACGTGGCACCATGGCCGATGATGATGAGATGAGGACTCTCAATGTGCCGGTGAGTGAGTGAGTGAGTGATTGAATGAGTGAGTGATTTCGTGGGTGTGTGTATGTGGTGAGTCAACCCTCTCTTTGACCATATCACCCCATCGCCCCCCGTGGGACATTCACATGGAGCTGCTTTGTTGTGGCATGGCACCATGGCTGATGATGAGATGAGGACTCTCAGTGTGCCCTTGAGAATGGCTAGAAGTGAGCTCTGCAGCAAGGATGCCATACCATACTAAAAGACGGCCCTAATCTTCTTCTGGGTGATTTCTGAGATGCAACCCCTTTTCTCCCATCCTTGGGACATGTTCTCAGCGAGCAGCAAACTTCTGAAGCTTCGCAGGTAGCTCTTTGTCCAGCTTCGCCGCGAACTCCTTGCGAAGAGTCGATTTTTAAGTCGACTTAAAATTCGCCGCGAACTCCTTGCGAAGCCGATCTTCGACATTCTCTTTACAAAGAATGATTTCTTGCGAAGCTTCTGGGTGATTTCTGAGGTGCAACCCCTTTTCTCCCATCCTTTATTCTTACATCCCCTTCTCTTCTCCCCTGTTTCAACCCTCCCCCCAACCCAATGCATCCCCCAGGGCTTGCAAACGGATGGGCTCATATTCCTCTGGGTGACAGGGCGTGCCATGGAGCTGGGGCGAGAGTGGTGAGTGTGGTGATAGTGGGTGGTGAGTGTGACGATATTAGGTGGTGAGTGTGGTGATAGTGGGTGGTGAGTGTGGTGATAGTGGGTGGTGAGTGTGACGATAGCAGGTGGTGAGTGTGATGATAGTAGGTGGTGAGCGTGGCAACAGAAGGCAGTGGGACAGCCAACCAGGTGAGCACGTTCTGCAACTCAAATAAAGCTGGAAATTCCAGCTTTTGAGGCGCCTCAAAAGTCGTCTCATTACCCGCAACCTGGAAATTCCAGCTTTTTGGGAACCTATCATGTTCCCTGTACTTGTCTTAGTGGAACGTGATAGGTTATCCCGTGGGAACGGAAGCAGGATCACGTGATAGGTTCACCCAATTCAAAAGCTGAATATATGTATACATATATATTTAGGCGTCTATACATGTGTGTGTATTTATATCTGTGTGTGCATGTGTATGCATATTCAAATCTATGTTTGCATATGTATATGAGTATGTATGCAGATTCATGCGTTTGCTTATGTGTACATGAATCTAAACTGATATCTATTTGTATATGTGCATCTAATGACATATGTATATATATATATACGTATATGTATAAATGTCTACTCCTGCCTACTTGCATCTTACGTCCCTGCCCGCAGTTTGGAGCTGTGGGGGTATCGACGAGTGGAAGAGATCATCTGGGTGAAGAGATCATCTGGGTGAAGAGATCATCTGGGTGAAGAGATCATCTGGGTGAAGAGATCATCTGGGTGAAGAGATCATCTGGGTGAAGAGATCATCTGGGTGAAGAGATCATATGGGTGAAGACGAATCAGCTGCAGCGCATCATTCGCACGGGGCGCACGGGGCACTGGCTGAACCACAGCAAGGAGCACTGCCTGGTGCCTGAAGGCCCTTGTCTCAATGCCATTCCTCTCCCCTCTCACTCCTTGTGCCTTTCCTTTCTCCCCTTCGTGTGTGCTCCCTTTGTGTGTGCTGCCCTTGCTTCCCGTCACTCCCACATGCAGCCTGGAGTTGTGGGGGTACCGTTGCGTTGAGGAGACGAACCAGCTGCAGCGCATCATCCGCACGGGGCACTGGCTGTAGGCTGACGCTTTGTTTCTGTGCCATGCCTCTCTCACTCCTGACTGAATGCCCTTGCCTCCTGTCACTCCCGCATGCAGCCTGGAGCTGTGGGGGTACCGGCGGGTGGAAGAGATCATCTGGGTGAAGACGAATCAGCTGCAGCGCATCATTCGCACGGGGCGCACGGGGCACTGGCTGAACCACAGCAAGGAGCACTGCCTGGTCTGGTGGGCATCAAGGGCACACGAGGCGCACGGAACACTGGGCGTGGGTTGAACCCCTTGCTTTGAACCTTCCCTCAATCTCTTCAAACCCCTGCGCCCTATTCCGTCTGCAGTTTGGAGCTGTGGGGGTACCGACGAGTGGAGGAGATCATATGGGTGAAGACGAATCAACTCCAACGCATCATCCGCACGGGGCGCACGGGGCACTGGCTGAACCACAGCAAGGAGCACTGCCTGGTGGGCATCAAGGGCGCCCCCCTTGTGAACCGCAACATTGACACCGACGTGATCGTCGCTGAAGTCCGCGAGACGAGTAGAAAGCCCGATGAGGTGAGAGACGCAAAAAGTGGGGGACAGGTGGTTGGTACAAGCCTTCATTGGGCGTACATACATACATGGGGACTGCGTGGGGACAACATCGACACCGACGTGATCGTGGCTGAAGTCAGAGAGACGAGTAGAAAGCCCGATGAGGTGAGAGAGCAGGAGGTGGCACTACAAGCCTACATTGGGCGTAAGTGCAGGAGACCAGCAGAAAGCCCGATGAGGTGAGGGAGAGGGAGCAGATGGTAGGAGGCCGATGAGGTGAGGGAGAGGGAGCAGATGGTAGGAGGCCGATGAGGTGAGGGAGAGGGAGCAGATGGTAGGAGGCCGATGAGGTGAGGGAGAGGGAGCAGATGGTAGGAGGCCGATGAGGTGAGGGAGAGGGAGCAGATGGTAGGAGGCCGATGAGGTGAGAAAGAGCAGTGTTACAAGCCTTCATTGGGCGTGCATCGAGACAACATAGACACCGAAGAGCGAGAGACCAGCAGAAAGCCCGATGAGGTGAGAGGAGAGAAGCAGCTGGGACCAGGTGAGTGAGGAAAGCAGAAGCTTGATGCGGTGAGGGAGAGGAGAAAGCTGGATGAAGTGAGGAGAAAGCTTACCCCCTCTTTCCCCCCTTCTCCCCTCCCCCCTTTTCTTCTCTGCCCATCAGAATTACTCCATGCTGGAGCGCATCAGTCCGCGGAAGTTAAGAGCCAAATTTCCCTCCCTGCAAAAGGCCCTCGTCTTTGATCTCACCTTTCCCTCTCTCCGCTTGTTTTGAGACGTCTCAAAACACCCTCCCTGCAAAAGGCCCTCTTCTTTGACCTCACCTTTCCCTCTCTCCGCTTCCCCATCAGATGTACTCCATGCTGGAGCGCATCAGTCCGCGGACAAGAAAGCTGGAGCTGTTTGCGGCCCATTGTGAAAGGCCCACTTGTGTTTCCGCCTGATGTGTCTTTTTCCTCCCCTCCCTCCCCCTCCTTTTGAGACGTCTCGAAAGGCCCACTTGTGTTTCCGCCCCATGTGTCTTTTTCCCCCCCTCCCTCCCCCTCCTCACACATCAGATGTATTCCATGCTGGAGCGCATCAGTCCACAGACAAGGAATCTGTTCCCGGTGTGTAGGGGCCCTCTATATTGGAGTGACTTTTGAGAATTCTCAAATGTTCCCGGTGTGTAGGGGCCCTCTTCCCTTCCCGCCTCATCTGTCCTTCTCCTGCCTTCCTCCCCCCCTCCCTCCCCCCTCCCCATCAGATGTATTCCATGCTGGAGCGCATCAGTCCGCGGACCCGGAAGCTGGAGCTGTTTGCGCGCATGCACAACACACATGCGGGGTGAGTGGGTGGGTTGGGTGTGGGTGGTAGTGTGTGGGTGGTGGTGTGTGGGTGGGGTGATGAGGCTGTGTGTGTGCACATAAGGAAGCTGGAGCTGTTTGCGCGCATGCACAACACACATGCAGGGTGAGTGGGTGGGTTGGAGAAACCGGGGTGGGTGGGCGGGGTGCACAACATACATGCACAGGGTGGGGTGTGCATGGGCCGGTTCTGATGGTTATGACAGCAGCATGGGTGGGACGCATTTAGAGTGAGTAAGTCCCATGGTTAGTAACCACTGGATGCACACATTCATTCACCCTTCTGTTCACCTCACTTCAGACAGATCACCCAGGGCAATCAGCTGTAAAGCACACTCCCAATGAATGCGCACAGCCAGGCATCGCATGTTAACGCGCCCTCTCGATGTTATACCCTTCCCGCTCACTGCATACTCCCCTCCCTCCCTTTCTCCAGCTGAATATCTCTGGGCAATCAGCTCGACGACTCGCATCCTCCCTGCATGGGACGCTCACCTGCTCATGTGCTTCCTCTCCCTCACCCTCCATCCCATACACCCCCCAATCACCCTCCTGCACCCTCCCTGCACACTCCCCTCCTTCCCTCCCTTTCTCCAGGCACCTGGATATCTCTGGGCAATCAGCTGGGCGGCAGGGGAGTTTTTGAGAATTCTCAAAACCTCCCTTCAATGTCTCTGGGCAATCAGCTGGGGCGGCACGCATCTTGTGGACGCTCACCTGCTCCCTCCTCTGGGGATGCTTCCTCTCCCTCTCTGACGCTGACCCAGCGTCCATCCCATACATCCCCCATTCACCCTCCTGCACCCTCCCTGCACACTCCCCTCCCTACCTCACCTCAGCTGGATCTCGCTGGGCAATCAGCTGGACGGCACGCGCCTTGTGGATGCTGACCTGCGCAAGAGGTTCAAGGAGGTACGGAGAGGTTCAAGGAGGTACGGAGATGTTCAAGGAGGTACGGAGAGGTTCAAGGAGGTACGGAGAAATTCAAGGAGGTACGGAGAGGTTCAAGGAGGTACGGAAAGGTTCAAGGAGGCACGGAGAGGTTCAAGGAGGCACGGAAAGGTTCAAGAAGGCACAGAGAGGTTCAAGGAGGTACGGAAAGGTTCAAGGAGGCACGGAGAGGTTCAAGGAGGTACGGAAAGGTTCAAGAAGGCACGGAGAGGTTCAAGGAGGTACGGAAAGGTTCAAGGAGGCACGGAGAGGTTCAAGGAGGTACAGAAAGGTTCAAGAAGGCACGGAGAGGTTCACGGAGGTACAGAAAGGTTCAAGAAGGCACGGAGAGGTTCAAGGAGGTACGGAAAGGTTCAAGGAGGCACGGAGAGGTTCAAGGAGGTACGGAAAGGTTCACGGAGGTCTGGCAAGCTTTTCAAGTTGATTATACTGTCTCAACAACCATTTGGCAGCTGAATGGGGCACGGGTAGCGAGAGAAGCAAGGTTTGAATGAGCTGTCATTTTTTTTGCCTTTCAAGGCTTAACTCCTCTCTTGGCGCTTCCCGATACATCCCTGTGTGACAGGTGTACCCAGATATTGAAATCCAGCCACCAGACCCCCCAGCTGAGGATGGCGCCACAGCCAACGCTAAGTAACTTCTGAGTCAACTCTACTGTCATTAAGCATTCCACAGCTCCTCCTGACACGACGCACCCCTGAGACAACTCATCTCAAAACGGGTGTGCCCTGAAGGTGGAAATCCATCCACCAGGCACCCCACCTGAGGATGCCACAGCTGCCAGCCATGCCAACACAGCTTGTAACGCAAAGCACAACCAGGCATCATGGTGAAGCGATGCTCAACTGCTGTGCTCGTCTATGTGCCTTGGTTGTCTGTAATTTCTAGCATGTAATGATGTTTCTTCCTAAGGCATCTAGTATAGTGACGCCGACAGCTCTCAAGCCTGCTGGTTCATTCTTTAGAACACAGGAAATTGTCATGCTTCTGTGCAGTTCAGGTTCTTGTTGCTGCAACAAGGTGATCATTGAACGGACTGAAATGAACATTGGCTGTGTGTGAGTACACCAACAAGTTAAACGGCATCACTGCTCGTTCCATGCCCTGTACTACGGTATGACAACGGAACAAGGAAAGTACCATCGTCACCATGCCTGCTGCCAGCAGAGTCTATTGATTGCTTCCAGTCCAGTCACATCAGCATAACCACCAGAATCACCAAGAGACAACCGTTGTCTCTTGCAGTCTGCATTGCGAGGACTGAGACCAGCCATCTTGAGGGATATCGCTTCAACCCTCTCTCCCTCTGCTGCACCCACTCACTTCACCCCCACCACCCCTTACAATCGCTGATTCACACCTCTGGGTCACCTAGGTTGCCTCTCGGAGTCCCTATTGCGAGGGAGTCCAGCCACCTTGAATGTTGAGGGATGAAGGGATTCGCAGTCACCACTGAATCACCACCGAGTCACGCGCAATCCCCATTGGGCGGACTCAGCCCAGCCATCCTGAGCGATATTGATTCAATCCTCTCCCTCTGCTGCGCCCACACAGCTGCCCCCAACTTTTCCCTACTATCGCTACTGGATCACCAGAATCACCACCAAATCACCATTGAGTCACGCGCTGTCTCTTGCAGTCCCCATTGGGTGGACTAAGCCCAGCCGTTTCGAATGTTGAAGGATGAAAGGATTCGCCGTCACCACTGAGTCACCACTCAGCCATCCCTGAGTCACCACTGAGTCACCACTGAGTCACCACTGAGTCACCACTGGGTCACCACTGGGTCACCCGTTGTCTCTTGCAGCCTCCATTGGGCGGACTCAGCCCAGCCATCTTAAGCGATATTGACTCAATCCTCTCCCTCTGCTCCGTCTCCTCCCTCACATCCCGCCAACACCGCTTTACCCTCTCACTCCCTGCTCCCCCTACTCCTCCAGTCACGTCACCACTGAGTCACGCATTGTCTCTTGCAGTCTCCATTGGGCGGACTCAGCCCAGCCATCTTAAACGATATTGACTCAATCCTCTCCCTCTGCTCCATCTCCTCCCTCACATCCCGCCGACACCGCTTTACCCTCTCACTCCCTGCTCCCCCTACTCCTCCAGTCACGTCACCACTGAGTCACGCGTTGTCTCTTGCAGTCTCCATTGGGCGGACTCAGCCGAGCCATCTTAAGCGATATCGACTCAATCCTCTCCCTCTGCTCCGTCTCCTCCCTCACATCCCGCCAACACCGCTTCACCCTCTCACTCCCCCCTCCTCCTCGCCCTAAAATCCCTAACCCTCCCGCCTCATATGCCCCTGCAATGCCTCGACCTACTGCTCCCATGCCTGCCCCTATCCCATCCACTACCTCTGTTCCTAACCCCCTCCTCGCTGCTCCCATCCTGCCCGCTCCACCTGCCCCCTCTGTCCCCCCTCTACTCGGGGAAAACGGTCCCGTCCTGTGTGTTGGGCTTTGAAACGGCTCGACACTAGTGGGGGAAAACGGCCCTTGCCTGTACGTGGGGTTTTGAAACGCCTCAACACCCGTGGGGGAAATCAGGCCGGGTCTGTGTGTGGAGGGCAGTGGAATTGCGATTGGGCATGAAGGGCTAGCACCGGGACACAAGAGGTTCAAATCCACTCCATCTTTCACTCCATCTTGAGACGGCCGCATGCTGTTGCTGCCGCCGCTGTAGTTGCTATTGTGGTCGATACTACTACCACCGCCGATAGAAATGCCTCTGTTGCTGTCCATAGCACTGCCGTGCTGCTGACTGCTGCTGAACCCCACAGGGGCTGTTCCGGGGATCGCTGTAGCTGATAATGAACCTGCTTGTACCGAGAGCGCTGATAGCAACGCGGAAGGTGTAGACGAGGCGGCTTGTAACGAGGATAAAGGATCGTCTGCCATTTCTGCATCGGTGAAATTAGGGGTGGCTGTGGTGGCACCGCCGTTGGTGGTTAACCACCGGGCCTCGTTGAAAGAACTGATGGGGAAGAGGGTAGAGGAGGAGAGAAGAAAGAAGAGTGTGAGAGCAGCGAAGAAGGCACAGTGGTGGCACCACTGTTGACACAGTTCACCACCACATACCAATTGCATTGGTGGCTAACCACCAGGCCTCGTTGAATGAGCTGACGGAGAAGAGGGCAAGGGAAGAAGAAAGAAGCACGTAAGGGCAGCAGGGCATAGCGCTGGCTGTGGTGGCACCGCCATTGGTGGTTAACCACCGGGCCTCGTTGAATGAGCTGATGGGGAGGAGGGCAGGGGAAGAAAGAAGAAGCAAGTGAGTGCAGAGAAGTTGAGAGGTGAGAATCGTGAGGTAAGAGGTGGTAGGTGGGAGTGTGGAAGGGTGGGAGGGTGAGAGGGTGGGCGGGCAGGCAGTATCTGACCTGCTGCAAGTAACACCTGATGAAGGCTTCACCTGTGGCTGGTGCACGCCACGTTGTGCAGGCAGAATGCATGGGACGAGGGAGAGCATAACTCACCTAGTACGTACACAGTTACTCAACGCACCTGAGACACACAGAGCATAAGGCATACCTGAAGCCGCTTCCACTGTCCATGGTGCGCAGGCGAAATGCATGGGACGAGGGAGAATGCAGGAGCACCGAGGAGCAAATGGCAGCAAACCCCATTAGCTGCTGGTGAAACCTGAGACAGATAGAGCATAAGGCATACCTGAAGCCGCTTCCACTGTCCACGGCGCGCTGGCGGAATGCATGGGACGAGGGAGAACGCAGGAGCACCGAAGGGCGACGCCCACACACGTCGCAAGACAAGCCCAGATGCTCCCTCCTGTTTAGGGGCGCGTAAGAGAGAATGGTGAGTTGACTTTTGAGTCGACTCAAAAATCAGAAGTCATATTGAGTCGACTGAAAATCCACACACGTCGCAAGACAAGCCAAGGTGCTCCCTCCTGTTTGAGGGAGCGTGAGAGAGAATGGTGAGAATGATGGATAATTGTGTGCTACATAAGTGTGCATGAGATTAAAATAGTGATGGAAGTGATTCTGAGGAGTCACAAAAGCAGCATGCAATGGTGAAGATATGGAAAATACCGTCCATACCTCACCATACTGCATCATACCTCACTAGTCCCCACAGTGCCTTGCTATACCTGGCCATACCTCCCCATACCCCACCATTTCCCACCATACCCCAGCATACCCCAGCGTACCCCAGCGTACCCCAGCATGCCCCAGCATACCCCAGCATAAACCAGCATACCCCAGCATACCCCAGCATAAACCAGCATACCCCAACATACCCCAGCATACCCCGCCACACCCCACCACACCCCACCATACCCCACCACACCCCAGCATACCTGGAGTAGCATTCCACAAACTCATCAATCAGCACTGGCCATGCCCCTGCCATGACAGGGGAAAGGGAGAACACAGAGAGGCAGAGGGGAGGGGCGGCGGGAAGATGCAGTTTGTGAGGTGGCAAAGGAACGAGGAAACACCAAGTGGATGCAGAATCAAGAAGAAAGAAAAAGCTGGGCACAGCAAGGTGGATAGAGGGTAGATAGACATACCACTTTCAAGAGCAATGTTGGCCGTGCATGCAAGCGAATGCACTCACACACACTCAAGTTGTACATGCTGACATCAGCTTACCATCCGAGTCATACATGCTGAGGTCAGCGCCAATCGTGCAGCTGAAATCCAGCACCTGCTGCCACGTGTCCTCTGAGACTGCATACCGCTGGTGCAGCTGTGGGAGGGAAGATAGGAGAGCCGGAGGGGAACGAGATGAGGCGAGAGGGTGAGGGTGAGAGGAGAGGACGGAGTTGGGAGAGCCGGACGGGAGAGCTGGAATCCAGCCAGCGCCTGCTGCCAGATACAGAATACTGCTGATTCAGTTGAGGGAAAACGGAGCGAGGGGGAGTGAAGTGAAAGGACAGGTGAAGGGGCAGATGAGATGAAGGGGCAGGTGCAAGAGCAGGTGAAGGGCAGGTGAAGTAAAGGGGCAGGTGAGGAGGAGAGAGCCTACCGGGACAAAGTCACACCAAGAATCCACAAGGGGGAAGACACCCGCTAGGGCAAATCTCCACGCCTCCACAGCTGTTGCCACGTCTGCACGACACAAAGGTTTCATACTATTATACATCGAGTTAGGCGCCTAAAAAATCACACAATTGCACCGAAATCCAAGAAGGGAAATATTTCTGCCCAACGCGAATCTGCAAGCTAGACTTGATACGCGTGGAGGAAAGTGAGAGGTGTTCGGTAATGTGTTTTGCCTCGTCGTTACAGAAACCACAACTCACCTACGCCCTTCTGCCCCTGCTCTCGGCTCATGAAGAAAACGAACTTGTAAAACACACGGAATGCGTGCCCGCCCAGAGGATTGAGCTGGAAAAGGCAAGAGAAGCGTGAGAGGGCATAGGAATAGAGAGAAAGAGAAGTTACATGAACAAATCGTTGGAGAAAGTAAATCGTGAATTACACAAACGGGGATAGATGGAGCTGCAAGCGAGTCGGGGTGCACAAAAGGGGTTAGTGAAAAGGGATGAAGAGACGAATGACCAAAGGCGGCATGTGTGATAACCAGACTCTTGAAGAAAGAGGGTTACAAATCAGTAGGGAAGAGAGGAGAGAAGCGTCTGAAACACAGCTGCCAATGACCTAGTAACTCACCTCCCACATACTTTGACAGACAATCGTAAATTTAAAAAAAAAAAAAAAAAAAAAAAAAACGTTTTGTTATCAACTCAGCATCTAACGCAGCCAGTGTGACTTTAAGTTAACTCAGAAGTCACCTCGTCAGTATGGCACACAAACACTGCTTACCAACCTGATCACTCAGTGACTGCCGTAATCTGTGGAGACTGGGAAGGGACATAGCTCTGCACAGAGGGGAGGAGGTGGAACAGAAGGAAGGAAAGGAGAGGAGTAGGGAGAGGGAGGGGAGGAGTGGGGAGGGAGAGGGAGGGGAGAGGTGGGGAAGGAGAGGGAGGGGAGAGGTGGGGAGGGAGAGGGGGACAGGTGTGGGGAGGGAGAAGGACGGGAGGGGTGGGGAGGAGATAAAAGTGGAGAGGACAGGAGGAATCAGCAGGTGAGACGTTGACAGATAACGAGTCAGTCTTTACAGGTGATTCCACCGCATGGCACCACGTTCGTGGATCCCACGCTCTTGAGTCTACTCTTGCGAGGTGACTTTTGAGTTGACTCAGAAGTCACCGCGAATCAGTCGTTACACATCAGTTATTCCACCGCATGGCACCACGTACGTGGATCCCACGCCCTTGAGTCTACTCTTGAGGCGCCCTAAGAAAGAAACTCTTTCTGAGGGGCGCTTGAGTCTGGTCTTGAGTGATAATGACAGGCAGAGCAGACTAATAGTAACAAGGTGAAAACAACGGGTGACGCAGCAGAACCCAGGTATACGTTAACGCAGGCAAGCAGTAATGCAAGCAAGCAGTAGCGCACGTAAGTGGTAACGCAGGCACGCGGTAACGCAGGCACGCAGTAACGCAGGCACGCGGTAACGCACCCTGTGAGGCCTTGCGAGCTTGCACACGCCGAGATGGCTGCGAGCCTCGCCTTGATGGCTGCTGCTGTGTCGCTTGACGCCAAGATGCCTGACCGGAAGGGCAAAAAAGGGGACGAGGGGACAAAAGCGGAGTTCTTATGAGCCATAGAGATGGCATAGAGAATGATTGCATGTGTAGAGACGGCTGCTAGCCTTGCCTTGATGGCTGCTGCCGTGTCGCTTGACGCCAAGATGCCTGACAGGATGAGGGGGACGAGGGGACAAGGGAATGAGGGGACGAGGTGGAAACGCACTACATAAGAACGAGATTACCACAAAACAGAGAGCCACCACAACGGACCAGACAAAGTGGAATACAGATGTTGAATAGGTCTGGCAGATAGGGTCGGCGAGTGGAAGGATTAAGAACTTGGCGTGAAGGAAGGTTTCATCTCAAGCTAACAAACCGAACGCAAGGGGATGTGAAGGCGAGAAGAAGTAGCTTTCGCGCAAGGGTTTTGGTAAACGCTGGTAAACCTTACTCGAGTACTCTCGAAACAGCTCTCGCATCTCGAAATCACGTTGCGATGCTGACGCCCCGTCGCCAGGCGACCGCAGGGTCGCACCGGATGAAGCTGAGGCCGAACCGATCCTGGGATCGATCTGGGCTGGGCCGACCCTGGTGTCGACCTGGGCTGAACCGAACGAGTGCGCGGATGCGGGTAACGACGCGCGAGGAAAGGTGACGCCATGAAGTTGAGCGTCCATGGCTGACGGTCCCATGGTGTCTGTTAGTTTCTAGAACAGTCAGCCTGAGCAGTCACTCCGAATAGTCAGGCTGAACAATCGGTCTGTAAGGAATAGTAACCTATGGAACCACGAGGAATATAATACAAAATAGTTTAGAAGTGACGGAATCGTAATCTATCATTGCGAAGCGCCTCACAGACGTGGTAGAACGGCGTCAACCGCACCGCACGCCTTCAGATACCCTCGTGAGTGGGTTTAACCTTCTGCGGAGCCTGTAATCTCGAGCTCTGAGTTAGGGAAGGGAACGGATCCAGCAAGATCCAGCGGTGATAAGGCTTGGTAATGGAATTCCTGACGACGCGCTGAGTAACGAATCAGCCGACTTTCACCATCCCTGTTGACTCTGAAAACACTACCCTTGACAGCTCTGTTCTACCAACTCTGACGGCTTGGATTGAATCTGGAAACCGGTGAAAGGATTCAGCCAACTCCAGCGTTGCGAAGACCTCGCGACGCTAGCGTCGAACCAAACGACTTTTCGCTACCCCTGACGACGGTGTCCTTGTTGCTCTGTTAGCACTACGACCAGAGGGAACAATGGGAAGTACGGCAAACTACACACACTATGAGGTCGCGTTTCGTAATCCACGTGTATGTTTAGAGCAATTTGACGCGGTCTAACAATGTCTAAACGAGTTTGAAGAAGAATGGCACTTCAGACTGTGGCTTTCAGGCACTAGACTCAAGGCAATCGCAGTGTGCAAACAACTAAGAATGCCTGAACTTTATGGTCCGACAAACGACATGGAGGAAAACATAGTACTGTACTCAATACAGAATGCGTATCAGCCGCCCTAAAACTGAAGTACGTGGCTGGGCTCCTTCCGATGGCACTATTCATGGTTCGTGCTGTCTTTTGAACAGATTTAGGGCGTATCCAGCTCGTTCATTTCGGATTTTTTCGTGCCAATGCATGTATCGAGGTTCAAAAATGACTACCGTACCTAGAAACGAATGCATTATGAGTGGAGTCCAACCATCCTGTAATTTCAGAAGCGCGGACATTCCCCGCCACACGAATCAACAGTGCTCTGACAACGTTGAAAATTTTTGTGCAGGCGCAGGGGGCGCTGGCGAGTAGAGCGAACCACTGATGAAATCGTGCAAGCGATACCTACAAGGGAAACGAACTGTAGTTGCCAGGACGCGGTGCTGTACCCTTGTTCGCGTCCCTGCTGATTCCAGTAACGTGAGTCAGACGACTCTAGGTACGTGCATGAGGCGTGCCGTCTTGCGAACAGAAGCTGATTGTGTCTGCTGGAGGTTCAATAAAGGGTTACCACAAAAAATGTGGTGACTGAGGGGGTTTACGAACAGTAAATGTACGAGCTGGACCCCCCCTTATTGCTCTCCGTGATGGCACTTTTTCGTATCTTCCGAGCCTCCCGTGCGGTTTCAACAAGCACTTAGGTGACATAGTCGTTGAGTGGCACGAGATGGCTGCAGCAGTTTGAAATGAACCTCTTTGGAAACAGGCCCCTGGAGACCTGTTTTATCGGGAATGGAGACAGATCGTTCATCATCATCATCATCGTCATCCATCCATGCACTCGTCGTCGTCATCTTGGCGGGAATGGTGAAAGTTTTGACGAGTCGGCTTGACGATTCGCATTGTCCTATACACTCGTAATCGGGTAATGTATGTACAAATTCGAATTACAAAAGTTGCAACAATTGTTGAATACATGCCCGGTATATTCCTTGACACTATGCCTGAAAGAAAAGGGGACGTATGAAGAGAAATCCTGTGATAATAGTTTTTGGATTCTTAATGTGGTAACGTAGTTATGATATGTTATCTTGGAAAATTTTCTCACTTTCTTTCATAAGATCTGTAGTTATTTCGCTAACACTTGTCAGGGTTTCCTATCAGCTTCACGCTGCAGCCCTTGATGGTGCCGCCGAAGGAAGTCAGGCCGTGTCCACCACGTGTATAGATTTGTTCGGTCTGTGCGGTCAAACTTGTTGCGTCACGGTGCAAAACGGTGAATTTCGAAACCCGTTGTTCACCGTGTGAAAAAGCTCTGAGCCACGAAGGATGTGTAAACAGACGCGCTGGAACCCCCCCTCCCCCTGACTTGCCAGGGAGCTGTGAAAATGCAACACCTGCGGACTGCACTACATTTCTCAACTCCCTTGACTCGTCCCATTTGGGGAACTAGCGGAAGAATTTGCACTACCGTTTCTGGCTTGCTGTCTTTCCTCATTAGGCTGGTAGTGGGGTTTCCAAGCATTAATTTAATTACCGTAGAAGGTTTATGAAAAAAAGCTTAATAGGCTCTTCGTTGGTTGCTCTTGCGTAAAGGTCCTGCGTGTGCTTCTGATGTAGTCGGAAAAATGCGAGCAGAGGGAGTAAGAGCCAATCCAACAATCTTTCTAGATTCCGGTCGCAATGGCTGATCGTACCGTGCGACGTGGACGTGCGACTGCGACTGCCAATCGCAGCGCCACCAGTGGCGACAAAAATGGTTCTCGCCAAGACCCTGCAGGCGAAACCATGGGTTGGACGTCAGAGCTATGCCGGAGAATGCTACGCCAAGTAAGAAATCCAACGGCGAAATCTATCGGTGCTTAGCTGTTTACTCACGTTTACTATCCGCAAAGGCGAGTTTCGAGAATAAGTGCTTTTGCCAGCGAGCGGCCGGCAAGCAGCCGTTACAACGCCAGAAACAGCTTGCCTATAAACTTCAGGCGCATCTATTCCGGTTCAATGCAGTCCAGGCTAATCCGTTCCTTGTTTGAGAGGATAAGTAAATAATTCGTGATATCCTTTTTACGAGAATTTATTTCCACCATGCCTCTGGCAGCACCTACTCGGTTTCCCACAGTTGGCAGCGTAGACTCGAATAGGTTGCTACGCCACCTTTCTGTACACACTCACGTGGTATGCATTCCTATAACGAAGATACATTCATATATACATACATATATATATTTATCAATGTAAAAAAAAAATCCGGTTACTGTGCAGGCAGAAGCAGGAATTGCATCAGGAGCAGGCGACGAGCTGCAGGATTATCTGGCATCAGCAGGCTTGCTGGAGGACGTAGCCTCCCGTGTCAACCACGCGCTTGCCGCCCCTTCTGCTGCTTCCCCTGCTGCTGCCTCTCCTGGTTCTTCTACTGCCTCTGCTACTGATCCACCGACTGGGGCTGTCTCGGGTGCCACGGAGTGGCTGGAGCTGCAGCAGCAAGCAATATCCCTGCAGCGCACGGTGGTGGACGACTTGAGCTTCGAGCTTCAGAGCCTGCTGCAGCGCTACAGGTGAGCGCTGTGTGGCTTATGCAGCACAATGTGGGCTATATGGCACATTTGCTTCTCCCAGCACAGAAATCCGCAACACTGTTCATACTCCCTGGGCTGGGTGTCTGCTGCCTGTCCCCTCCTTATGCTCAAAACCTCCCGCTTCGTTTTCCCCTTTGTCACCATTTACACCCCCGTCGCAACCCGGTGTATCACCTCCCTGCAGCACACGAGCTGCAGCAAGGTTCACTCCAGAGCGCCTATCTCTCCGTCTCCCCAAACCCCGTTCATTCTTCTCCTTCATCGTCCTTCACCTCCCCTCCCCACCAACCGAACCAAATGTATCACCTCCCTGCAGCACACGAGCCGCGGCAAGGTTCACTCCAGAGCGCCTCGAGGTCCTATTCCGCATCGCCTTCCTGGAACCTTCCTCTGCTTCACATACCGACGACCCCAGCTGTAGCCCTCGCAGCTCCACCGGCTGTAGCCCAGGCCACACCAGCCCTGCTCGCTGTCCAGCTGGCAATGGCATGCCACGTCCTTCTACTGCTGCTGGTTCTGAATCTGTGGATGCCAGGGGTGCTGCCCCTGTAGCTGCAACTGGTGATGATGGTGGTGGTGATGCTGCTTTAGCTGCTGGAGATGGTACTGATGCTGGTGCAGCTGGTGATGGTGCTGTAGCAGCAGCAGCAGCAAGTGGTAGTTCTGGAAGTGGGATTGGTGGGAATGGTGCACCCAAGCACATTGCTGCTGACGTGGAGCATGGTGCCAACGTGGACATGCTGATGCCTGAGCTCCTTCCGGATAACGCGCTGCGATTGGCCGGGGAGATCTGCAGCAGGATGGTGGCAGCAGGGGGTGGCTCACAGCTTGTGGAGACGTACAGGTGAGATGGTGGTGGTATGGTTTGTTCTCTTTGCTTCTTCTTTATCTATGATGGTAAAATGTTGCTGTTTTTTGTCATACACGTGGGATGGATGGCTTAATACCAACAAAACACAACGTATCATTAGATGTATCTTGTTTCTTCCGTCCTTCCAGGAAAGTACGCAGCAGCTTCCTGAAGCAGGCGGTGGAGTCCCTGAACAGCCACCTGGATGGTGGGGCGGCGGAAGCAGCAGCAGTGGGCAGCATGGGATGGAGCGACCTGGAGCTCACCAGCAAGCAGTGGGCTCAGCATGTGTACCTGCTGGTGAGAGACAGGAGAGGAGAGGAGCACGTATACTTGCTGGTGAGATTAGACTGCTGATGTAGAGAGCAAGAAGTCGAATTTCATAACAACGACCTGGAGCTTACCAGCAAGCAGTGGGCTCAGCACGTGTACCTGCTGGTGAGAGACAGGAGAGGAGAGGAGCACGTTTACTTGCTGGTGAGATTAGACTGCTGATGTAGAGAGCAAGAAGTTGAATTTCCTAACAACGACCTGGAGCTTACCAGCAAGCAGTGGGCTCAGCACGTGTACCTGCTGGTGAGAGACAGGAGAGGAGAGGAGCACGTTTACTTGCTGGTGAGATTAGACTGCCGATGTAGAGAGCAAGAAGTCGAATTTCCTAACAACGACCTGGAGCTTACCAGCAAGCAGTGGGCTCAGCACGTGTACCTGCTGGTGAGAGACAGGAGAGGAGAGGAGCACGTTTACTTGCTGGTGAGATTAGACTGCTGATGTAGAGAGCAAGAAGTCGAATTTCCTAACAACGACCTGGAGCTTACCAGCAAGCAGTGGGCTCAGCACGTGTACCTGCTGGTGAGAGACAGGAGAGGAGAGGAGCACGTTTACTTGCTGGTGAGATTAGACTGCTGATGTAGAGAGCAAGAAGTCGAATTTCCTAACAACGACCTGGAGCTCACCAGCAAGCAGTGGGCTCAGCACGTGTACCTGCTGGTGAGAGACAGGAGAGGAGAGGAGCACGTTTACTTGCTGGTGAGATTAGACTGCTGATGTAGAGAGCAAGAAGTCGAATTTCCTAACAACGACCTGGAGCTCACCAGCAAGCAGTGGGCTCAGCACGTGTACCTGCTGGTGAGAGACGAGGCACGAGAGAAGTAAGAGGGGTGAGAGGGGTGAGAGGGGTGAGAGGGGTGAGAGGGGTGAGAGAGGCGAGAGGTGTGAGAGGGGTGAGAGAGGCATGAGAGAGGCATGAGAGGCGGGCAGCAGGGGTGTTTGACACATTGCCCCATCCCACTCACCTCACCTCACGTACCCCTCCCATTGCAGGTAGGCGTGGTGTGGGGCATGGAGCGGCAGTGCCTAGAGGACATCCTCCCCCCATCCACCCCCGCCCACACCCCCCTCCTCCACACCCTCCTCTCCGCCCTCCTCATTGACGGCCACGTCATCTCATCTCCTCCTTCCTTGTTGGGCCGGCTGAAACCCCCGAGTGCATGGAACAGTGCTTAAAACGAGCTGGCTTTATCCCCTCCCTTCCACAAACCTCGCTTCTCCGCAACCCTCTCCCTTCTTCTCTTCTCTCGCCCTCCCATTGCAGGTGGGTGTGGTGTGGGGCATGGAGCGGCAGTGCCTGGAGGACATCCTCCCCCCATCCACCCCTGCCCACACCCCCCTCCTCCACACCCTCCTCTCCGCCCTCCTCAATGACGGCCATGTCATCTCCTCCCTGCACTCTCTCGCCCAATCAGCTGCTGCCATCTGTCGCCGCGGCCTGCCCCAGCAGCTGTTCTCGCTGCTGGAGATGCTGCAGGCGCTGCAGGAGGTTATGCCTGAGGTATGTCATCTGGGGTAGGGTCATCTGAGGTAGGGTCATCTGGGGTAGGGTCATCTGGGGTAGGGTCATCTGGAGTAGGGTCATCTTGAGTACGTCATCTGGAGTAGGGTCATCTGGGGTAGGGTCATCTGGGGTAGCCTCATCCGGGGTAGGGTCATCTGGGGTATGGTCATCTGGGGTAGGAGGACTCCCTGGCATTGGGTCTCTCACACGCCCAGTCCCTCTCTCACGCTTCCCCCCATGGCATGGCATCATCAGCTGGAGGAGCACCTTTGCTACGTGAGCCTCTATACTGAATGGTGCTCGTTACAGTCACTCTCGCTCACCCGCTCCCCTGCACCTGCTCCCCCCTTCTCCCTGCTCCACGTCTTCCCCACTGTCCCCCTCCTCCACAGCTGCAGGAGGACCTTTGCAGCGTGGGCCTGCACTCAGAGTGGCGCTCGTTACAGTCACTCCCGCTCACCCTCTCCCTCGCCTCGCTACAGTCACTGCAGGCCATGCACAGCTGCATCGTTCGAGCCGGTAGCCTCACCACATTAGACGGAAGTGCAGGGGGGGGAGGAGGGGAGAAAGGAGGAGAGAGAGGAGGAGGGAGAGGAGGTGAGGGGGGAGAGGGAGAGCGGGATGGGGGGACTAGGGATGGCAGGAAGAGTAAGTCAGCTATGGCGTCAAGTGCTACACCCTACAGCCCGAGAGAAAGAGCTGCAGTATCTAGCCCCAGGTTCGGTGCTACAGCCGCCAGCCCCAAGGCCAGGCCCAGCGTTGCAGTCCCTGGCAGCACCAGTCCACCGCATGGTGCTACAGCCTCTAGCCCCCGTGTTGGCGGTGCTACAGCTTCCAGCCCAAGATGGGGCGCTACAGGCGCTTTAGGTGCCACAGCCACCCAGGGTGCCACACCTGCTAGCCCAAGGTGGGGTGCTGCAGCTGCCCTGGGCGCTACAGCCGCGTTCGGTGCTACAGCCGCGGCTCTTGTGAGCCCGAGAGTGCGTGGGGCAGTCAGGGCGCTCACTCGCCGGGCCTCAGACGCATCAGTGCTGGCCAATAGCGACGCGCCAGGTGGCGGGAGCTCTGCAGCACCACCTGGAGGAGGCGTGGACCCGATTACAAGCTACGTGTGTAACTTCATACAAAGCTTCCTCTCCCTGTGAGTGCTGCTTCCTCTCCCCGTGAGTGCTGCTTCCTCTCCCCGTGAGTGCTGCTTCCTCTCCCCGTGAGTGCTGCTTCCTCTCCCCGTGAGTGCTGCTTCCTCTCCCTGTGAGTGCTACTTCCTCTCCCCGTGAGTGCTGCTTCCTCTCCCCGTGAGTGCTGCTTCCTCTCCCTGTGAGTGCTGCTTCCTCTCCCCGTGAGTGCTGCTTCCTCTCCCCGTGAGTGCTACTTCCTCTCCCTGTGAGTGCTGCTTCCTCTCCCTGTGAGTGCTGCTTCCTCTCCCTGTGAGTGCTGCTTCCTCTCCCTGTGAGTGCTGCTTCCTCTCCCTGTGAGTGCTGCTTCCTCTCCCTGTGAGTGCTGCCTGCACGTTCATCAATAATTTTTGGGGGCTTTCAAAAACCACTCTCCCCTCCCATTCCCATCTTTTCAGGTCAGGTCGTCGCAACTATGCTGCTACCTTGGCAACTGCCTGTACCCTCATCAACCGCAGCAGCCGCATGCCTCCCTCCCCTTCCTCCTCCTCCCCGTCCTACTCCTCCCATCAACACACATCAGCAGCAGAGGCAGCAGCAGAGGTAGCAACAGAGGCGGCAGCAGAGGCAGCAGCACGGAAGGCCTTACACGAGACAAGAGCAGCAGCAGTGGCAGGGAGAGGAGGAGGAGGAGGAGGAGAGAGAGGAAAGGGGACAGGTGGTCGGAAAACCCCTCCCAGGCTGAGTCTAGATAGCAATACAGCAGGAGAGAGAGGAGGAGGAGGAGGGGTATTTGAGGGCATGCTGGGGGGAGGGAGTGAGAGAGTGAGTGTGGAGCTGCTCGTGGGTGTGCTGGTGGTCTCGCTGAGGGAGTATTTGGATAAGAGAGCAGCTTATATCGAGGATGCAGCCATGAGAGAGCTGTACCAGATGAACAATCTACACTACCTTATGCAGTCCATGTAAGTCGCTCTGCAAATGTCCGCAGTAATTTTGCGTGCGAGCATTCTTCTGACTTCCTTCCTTCTGCCCATTTCTACCTTTTGCCTATTCCTCCCTTCTGCGTTTTTCTCCCTTATGGCCTAGTTTTACCTTCTGCCGATTTCTCCATCTGTGTGCCTTACCCTTTTCGCCCGTCCCAGGAACTCGTGGGGAGGGTGGAGGCAAGGGGGGCTCCAACAGGCTTTTGCTGATGCCAAGGGGTAATGCTTCTCATGCCTCATGCCTCATGCCTCATGCCTCATGCCTCATGCCTCATGCTTCATGCCTCATGCCTCATGCCTCATGCCTCATGCTTCATGCCTCATGCCTCATGCTTCATGCCTCATGCCTCATGCCTCATGCCTCATGCCTCATGCCTCATGCCTCATGCTTCATGCCTCATGCCTCATGCCTCATGCCTCATGCCTCATGCCTCATGCCTCATGCCTCATGCCTCATGCCTCATGCCTCATGCTTCATGCTTCATGCCTCGTGCCTCATGCTTCATGCTTCATGCCTCGTGCCTCATGCCAAGTAATTAAGAGTATTTGGTGCATTTGCCTCGTGCTTGTGCGTTCAATTCTCAAACAATGCTATTACGCATGAGAATGTCTTTACAATCACATTCACCACAGGAACGGCAGGTTGGAGCTGGCTCTAGCCCTCTCCACGTTCATCGATGGGAGTACCCTTCAGAAGCACGTGGCTGCCTTCCAGACCTGCGCTCTCAGCAAGGTGTGTCACACTCACCCCTGCCACTCACTTTCATTGGTCATTCTATCTGGGCTGGCGAGTAAGCATACACTCGTTTGGTTGCTTATATGGACATGACTCCTGTAGGCTGCTTTCCCTTGCTTCAGAAGCAGGTAGCTGCCTTCCAGACCTGCGCTCTCAGCAAGGTGGGTGTGTGAGCCCCCTTGGATCAACGAGTAGGCATGTCCTGAGTCCTTCTCAACGTTTATCGATGGGAGCGTCCATCAGAAGCATGTAGCTGCCTTCCAGACCTGCGCTCTCAGCAAGGCGTGCCAGGCTCTTTGCTTTTTTTTTAATTATTATTATAAGAGTTTCTTTCGCCTGAAGGGCTGTTTGTGTTTTGTTGTGCTGTGATTCTTTCCCTCTCTCTTTCAGAAGGGTTTTTATGTTGTGCACTCTTGTTTTGTTCTGATGGTTACTATGAAGTTTCGATGGAGGCTAAAAACAAAAATTCCCGCCCTCGTATCGTTGCTCCAGGCAGTAGCAGCCATGTCAGACCCCCCGTGGCCGCTAGACTTCGTCCCTGCATTCACTTCACCAAGCCTGCCTTGTCCCACTTCCTCTCCATTCCCTCCCTTCTCTCTCTCTGTTTCTCCCTAACTCTCCTCTCCGTAATTCAGGTATTAGCAGCTATGTCAGACCGCCCTCGGCCCCTTGACTTTGTCCCGGAGTGCACCAAGCCTGCATCGTCCCTCTGGCCTTTCTCCCTCTCAGACGGGGGCGACCATGAGGTGCTGGCTATGAGCGAGCTGCTCAGGTGAGAGCGTGGTGTGAGGATGGGATGGGGTACCTAAGGACTTTTGAGGCGCCTCAAAAGGATGGGATGGGGTGCCTAAGGGACAATGTTAGTGCAGATGCGAGTGCATGGGATGCAGGGGCGACCATGAGGTGCTGCTGGCTATGAGCAAGCTGCTCAGGTGAGAGTCTGGTGTGAGGGCTTGGAATGTGACTCGTTTCCCTCACTTGCAGCTATTGTCTCATCTCAGCATTAGTCCCTTCTCGTTTCCCTGTGGTCCTTCTCCCACGCGGACGGGGGCGACCACGAGGTGCTGGCTATGAGCGAGCTGCTCAGGTGAGGCTGTGATGGGGGGGGGGCGATCACGAGTCGCTGGCATTGCAGATGTGAGTGCATGGGATGGGGGAAATCACGAGGTGCTGGCTATGAGCGAGCTGCTCAGGTGAGAGCCTGGTGTGAGGGCTTGGAATGTGACTCGTTTCCCTCATTTGCCGTTATTGTCTCATCCCACAAGACATTTTCGCTCTTAAGGCGTTAGTCCCTGTAGCCCTTCTCCCACTCAACTTGGGGCCATCACGAGGTGCTGGCCATGAGCAAGGTGCTCAGGTGAGAGCCTGGTGTGCAGGTGGGTTTGCTCCCTTGCACCCATTTTCCCATCCCACTAGGGCATTTTCTCTTCCAAGGGACTGGCTCGCGTTCCTCTGGTCCTTCTCCCATGCGGATGGGACCATCATGAGGTGCTGGCCATGAGCGAGGTGCTCAGGTGAGAGCTCGGTGCGTGATTCGGTCCTTGTGTGTGTGCATGTCCCGTCCCCCAAGTCAGGGAGTTTTAAAGAATTCTCAAAAACTCCCTGCAGCTTGGTGCGTGATTCGGTCCTTGTGTGTGTGCATGTCCCGTCTCCCACGTCAGTTTCACGCATGCCATGTCGACTTAAATGCCATGCCGTTGCACATGCCATCATGCATGGCATGACACATGGCATGGCATTACACATGCCATCATCCATGACATCACGCATACCATCCCACATGCCATGATGTGTGGCATGCTGAGGGCGCTCAACAAGGCGATGGAGGAGCTGGTGGAGGTGCAGAAACGGTGGGCCATAGTATCTCACCATGTCTCGTCACTCCGTACTGCTCTTCACCCATTTCCACGCCATGCATGGCAGGCTGAGGGCGTTCAACAGGGCGATGGAGGAGCTGGTGGAGGCACAGAAGCGGTGGGCCATCCCGGATGCTGCACTGCGACTGCGCGTCTGCACCGCATGGGCTGCTTGCCTCAAGGACCGATACCGCAAGCTGCTGCAGCCTCGCTGGTATGTGCTGCTGACAAGGTGTTAACATGTTGCCCTGTCACTGTGTGCTTGTATGTGTTCGTCTGCACCGCATGGGCTGCTTGCCTCAAGGACCGATATCGCAAGCTGCTGCAGCCTCGCTGGTATGTGCTCTCTTTTGCATCCAGGTATGTGTGCTAGTAATGAGTGTGAGTCTGCACCGCATGGGCAGCTTGCCTCAAGGACCGATGCCGCAAGCTGCTGCAGCCTAGCTGGTATGTGTTCTGTTTTGTAGTTACCCCAATCCACTGCTGCCCTGGGGTATGTGCGCTAGTACTGAGTGTTGGTTTGTACTGCCTGAGCTGCTTGCCTCGAGGACCGATACCGCAAGCTGCCGCAGCCACGCTGGAATTTGCTGGTTTTATATGCGGTTGATGGTACCGTGAGCACTTACGGTAACTTGCTTTTCTCTGTCATCCATCTTTATGCAATAGGTGAGTTAACTTGCAGCAGTTGAAGGGTATCCATCTGAGGGTGATTCGCGAGCAAATCATGCACCCATGCTCTCCCGTCCTTTAAATTCACAGGGACGATTTGATCACATCCAAACACTACTTGCATACACCCGAGAGCTTGGAGTTGATGGTTATGGAAGATTTCTTCCATTAAATTCGAGGATAGCGTGCTAGATGCTGTCCTTGGGTATAATCGTTTTCAGAAAAGCTGTAGTCATCATGCTTACTGGACTATTTTATAAAAAGGTTATGGAGACAAGGTATCCTGTTCTCATTAGTGTAGGTGTTTTGCTGACCTCTAGTCGCTGACCCCAGCCTCCATTACCTCCATCTTGATTCGTCACGAAAGACGTCCATGTCTAAAGTACACTTGTCGTGAGTCTCTCCGAGTTTCGGCGCCGCTTGGCGAATCGTCGTTGTCGTTCAGCCCGGCCAGCACTTCGACAAGCACCCATATTTGTCGGCGGGCAGTTTGTCAGAAATGCCTGAAGCCTTACGAAGTTGTTTGGGGTATCAGAAGAAGCCTTCGAGAAAAGGAGTTGCAAGGCCCTGAAATCTGGGTGATCCATTCCATATGGTGAATTGTAACTTCTTCGAGAACACAACAGCCCGCACAACTCGCCTTCAAAACGCGCCCTCAGGGTCACCCTACCCTCGTGCTCTCCCTTTTGGCCGCCATGTCGGCCGGAGCATAAACCCCCCCAACCCGATTGGCCGGCCACATCCCAACCCAACCATTTCCAATCGTTGGATCGAGTGCAAGAGCCCCAGCCCCACCACCACCAGCCTACCCCTAAGCAAAAGGAGGAACACAGCCTCAGTCCCACACTCCACCAGGACCGCCAAGCCAAGGGAGGCCAAACCCGATCAGCAGCAAAGCTTTCTTTCCATTTCGGCGGTGTTCGCCAGCACCTTTGAAAGCGGTAACGACGGGATCAGGAAGGTCAGTCACGCCTTCCTGATCCCGTCAGCTAGGGTTCGTTAAGCTCCGTCAGCCTGGTCAGTCCGTAAAATTCCTGCCGAAGCTAGGATGCCGTCCGAACCTAATGCAATCTTTGGTGCCTGGCGAACGCCCACAATTTTCTCAAAATCCGGATAGAAACATGGCATTTGGAAATGGGGATGTGATTTCCTCCCCGGGCAAACTTCCCGTCTCATGCCATCCCATGGCAATCCACCATGTGGGTTGGCGCTGTAATTGGCTGCTGGACCAATTGGGGGGAAGGTGGGGAGACAGGTTCCATATGCGGTTGTAAAGTTTCGCCCAGACCTCTTCGGAGGGTTCTGTCCCCGCTTCCTGATGCCGTTGCCAGTCCGACGCCTTCCTTTCTCTTCCAATCTCACATGTGCTGGCGAACACTGCCTTCGTTCTGATTGTTTTTTTCCTCCCATTTGCTCTCTGGTCTGTCAACCGCGCTGACTGCTTCTTTCCCTCTCCGACAGCGCTGCCCGCGTGAAACTTGCTGACAGCATGTAGCGTCGTTTACTGTAGAATGGCGACTCGAACCACGCAGTCTCTCCTCTCTCGTGCGACGCGACGCGAATGTCGCTCAATGCAGGTGGTACTCAGCTCGGCGGGACTGGGAGTGATGAAAATCCTGCTTGCCTCCCGTTGAGACGCTTGGACCTGGACAGTGCAGCGCAACCGCTGCGCAGCGCAGAGCATCGGAGCAGCATATATTAGTAGCACTGGCAGTGCGGCGCGCTGAAGGTTGTTCTTGTCCTCCACTATAAACGGAACATCCTGCGATGATCGTACGTAGTCGGAACGGGTTGTCAACCTGCTCTACCGAATTCTAGAAATCAGAAAACCACTTCGCTCTGATTTCAGGAAGTTCCAGGTTTCTCGAGACTTTCAGCCCACTCCGACGGTTGAACCGACTACTTTCAGTGGAAGCAGCAGTCCAAAACCCGCAGCTCGAAACTGGCGGAAGAAAATAAGTATTCAGCACAGTCTAGATAATTGATTCCGTTTCACGACTATGGAAAAACGGGTTCTTATCGTCGCGGTTCTCGCAGCTCTCCTCTGTCTAGCGAGCTTCGCGCCGCGTGTGGCGGAAGCGGCAATCGCGCGTCCGACGAAGGAGCAACTGAAGGCGGAGCTTGGGAAGCTGGCGGAGAGCGTGGCGAAGAAACGCCCACGATACTCGAATTTCACGAGCACCGTCAACAACTTTTTTGGCCTCGCAAGTAAGTGGCTTTGGCCTCACATGTAACGCGTTGCTACAGTATCGGATGTCCCTAAGATCATGTATCCTTGGTGGGCCGGTACGCGATTTACAAGGGCTCGCGTTGGAGTGTAGTAACAGCTCTTGCGATGACTATTAAAGTATCGGAGCATTGCGAAGTACCCGTGCCATCCATTGTCTTACAAGGCATTTCGGCATTTCTGATTCCGAACCTAACGAGTGACTTTTGAAACAAGTTGAGTTTATGCATTAGTTAGGAAATGCAGAATTGATTTTTGAAAAGAACAAATTACTCCCCACCCCAATCAACACCCACTATAATCCCTCCTCCCTCTTTCCCCATCCCCCCTCCCTACAGTGAATTCGAAGTATGACCTATCTGCTCTAGACAACGCCACCATCCTCATCCCCATTAATACCGATTCAGAAGCCCTCTTTGAAAAGCTCCCCTTTAAAAGATCCAACTTCCCCAAGTTCTACCAAATCGCAGCTTTCCACATCTTACGCATAAAACGCTATATGCCACAGCTTAAAGTGCTGAAGCCAGGGGAGGCCGTGGGTACTCAATTGAAGCAGACTCTTTATAAGAGGACTCCATTAAATGTTCCGAGGGTGTCTTTTGGGACGTCGCAAACTGCACCAGCAGTTACATGGACTACAATTATTACTCCGAGGATGTACGCTGGGCCGTATTTTGTTGCGCATGGTGTTACCAAAGTATTGATTCCGTTTGGCACCAAGGTGTGATATTCATGAGCATAGCAAAGAGTTGCGTGCTTTTATATCGAGGTGTGATGTGCTTGCATAGCAATGGATAACATGCTTGTATCACATAATCACAGCCTGTGATGTGCTTGTATAACAGTCAGTAATATGCTGTGCCTGTACCACAGCGTCATGTGTGTGATGTGTTTGCATAGCAACAGGTAATATGCTTGTATCTGACTTGCTGGCGATACAGAACACTGGCATACCCCTCTCTACTCCCACTCCCCGGACCCCAGTGGTACATGCTGTCGAAGCCCCCCTCATGGACCTCCCTCTTGCAGCCCCCATCCTGCAGGAACCCTTTCACCCTTCTCCGATGGAGACCGATCTGATCCTCAGACCGTGCGCCTTTGACGCAGAAGTAGTTACCACTCTGGCCTGCCTCACCCCGCCCATCCCCGTCATCAGCCCCACCTATCACCACGGCAGATAGTTCCGAGGGCACGGCCACGACCGATCCCACCGACACAGCGACGTCACCAGACGAGGTCGTGAAGTGCCCCACATGCTTGAGCTCCCTCGCGAACCGCCGAGCACTCCGACACCACATGCCTTTCTGCCACCCTACCGACGCGGCTCGCAGGGCGCAGGCCCTCCGGTTGATACCATGTCAAAATGAGGAATGATGATGCCATTGATGTTGGTTGGGGTACAAATAACAAACCCTAACTTCTGTACCCCCTAAGACAAACCTCACTACAGGCTACAACATTTGACACAGGCCCTACTCTCCTCTTGGCGGCGGCACCGACGCTCCTACTGGCTCCGGCGACATCGCCAGAGCGTTCAAACACGGCCGTCATTGCAGCGCGCATCATCCGCTTTGGACGAGGTGAGTGGCATGAGCTCATCTCTGCGTCCGTACAGCGACGCACTCCCCTTCCTTTACGAGTAGCACGGGGAGCTCGCGCTAGCACTTTCTCCCCCACACCGGATGACCGTCGCATTGCCCGCTACTTGCGTCTGGCGGCTTGCAATGAGACCTCGCGGGCCTGCGCGGCTCTGGAGTCGGCAGAGGCGGCACCTGACACGGAGAGTACGATGCAACGTTTGCGGAGCAAGCATCCCGTCGCAGAGCGACCGACTCCAGATTAGCTGCCAACTTTCCAGGATACTGCCCTTATGCTCTCTATAGATCACCTCCGCCGCACCATCTTCACAGCCCTGCGCGGGTCGTCTGGAGAACCGACAGGCTGGGTTGCCGAGCATCTTCGAGATACCTTCCTTGCCTTTCCTGAGAGCCTCCCTAGCCTACTCATCGTGTACCAGCTTTGGCTGCGAGGCTACTGCGCCCAGGCAGCCCGATCGCTATCGGCATCGTCCACCCTAGTCACTCTCGCGAAACTGAACCTGGATGTGCGTCCTATCGCGATAGGTGAGGTTTTGATTCGCATCCTTTCTCGCGCAGTATGCTTGCAGCTTCGGGACCAGATGGCTAGGGTTTTCCTCACGTCACAGCAGTTTGGGGTGGGCGTTACCTGTGGGACAGAGGTCGTGGTTAGAGGCGTTCGTCGTGCCCTGGATGACCACCCTGATTGGGTGGTTCTGAGAAAATGTGAACGAGAATGAATGAACTATGAATGAAATGGGTACAAGTTGTCAAATGTTGTAGCCTGTAGTGAGGTTTGTCTTAGGGGGTACAGAAGTTAGGGTTTGTCATATGTACCCCAACCAACATCAATGGACACACACCATTCCTCATTCTAACATGGTATCAGCTAGGTTAGGATCCTGTGGGATCCCGTTCCTCCGTTCTCCGTTCGTACCTCCCGAGCCTGATCCTACCTCTCGTTCGTACCAGTTCCGTTGTTACCGAGCCTAGCGCCCTTTCCCCCGTCGCTTAGCGCCCTTTCTCCCTGTCGCCTAGCGCCCCCCCCCCCCCCCCCCCCCCGTCGCGTCGCGCCCTTCCCCCCCCCCCGTCACGCCCTTTCCCCCCGTCGCGTCGCGCCCGTTCCCCCCGTCGCGTCGTGCCCGCCTGTTCCCCCCCCCGTCCCGTCGCCCTGTCCCGTCGCGTCGCCCTACCCCGTCCCGTCGCCCTGTCCCGTCCCGTCGCCCTGTCCCGTCGCGTCGCCCTACCCCGTCGCGTCGCCCTGCCCCGTCCCGTCGCCCTGCCCCGTCGCGTCGCCCTGTCCCGTCGCGTCGCCCTGCCCCGTCGCGTCGCTCCCGCCCTTTCCCCCATCGCGTCGCCCTGCCCTACGCCCTGGCCCGTCGCCCTGCCCTAAGCCCTGGCCCGTCGCCCTACCCTAGGCCCTGGCCCGTCGCCCTCCCTAAGTCCTGGCCCGTCGCCCTACCCTAGGCCCTGGCCCGTCGCCCTACCCTAGGCCCTGGCCCGTCGCCCTACCCTAGGCCCTGGCCCGTTGCCCTCCCTACGCCCTGGCCCGTCGCCCTACCCTAGGCTCTGGCCCGTTGCCCTCCCTAAGCCCTGGCCCGTCGCCCTACCCTAGGCCCTGGCCCGTTGCCCTACCCTACGTCCTGGCCCGTCGCTCTAGCCCGCTCTTCCGCTGCGAGTGAGTCCTCTTCCCCCCCGGTTGTTACTCGCCTGTTCGTTCGCTTTAGTCCTCACTATGGCGACTCCGCGAGTTCTTCGTTTCGACGCTGACAGTAGACCCCTTGACTTTTCCGTCTGGCTTCTTCGCGCTCGCCGTCTGTTAGAGAGTCAGGTCCAGGGGGGCGAGACCCTCTGGTCACACGCTACTGGTGACCTCCCTGAGCCCCCCGAGCCTACAGCTTTAGGCCCTGCTCCTGACGACGCTGCTACGGCTCACTTTGCCCGTCAGCGCGCTGACCGGACGGCTTGGACGTCGCGTGACGCTGCGGCCTGCATCGCACTCAGCAGCCTCCTCCCTGAGTCCGAGGAGGTCCACTTTACTCAGGTTCGCACCGCTGCTGCGTACCTCACTGCGATTAAGGCCCGCTACTCTACTCCCGCTACTGTCTCTCTTGGCCGTCTTTTCCTCCCGTTCCTGTTTCCTGATCTTGCCTCGTTTGAGCGCTCTGCTGACTTGATCGCTCACCTCCGCTCGCTCGACGCTAGTTACCGCGCTGCTTGCACTGAGGCACAGCTTACACTGCTTCCTCCCCCCATGGCGATCACTGTCTATTTCATCGCCACTAGCCTCCCTGACCGCCTTGCCTCCGTTCGTGACGTGCTTCTGTTGAAGCACCCTAGTGAGCTGACTATCGAGGTCCTTGAGTCTGCACTCAAGGACGTCAAGAGCAACCTTCGTTCGGTAGCTGCCGCCTCTGGTACTGTGTCCCCCCCACTCTTCCACGGGTGCACAGTCCCGCAGTTACCCACCTTCACTGCCTCTCTTGCCACTGCCGCTACTGACGCGACTGCGGCTGCTGTTACGACTGCGTCGCGGTCCCGCGGCAGGGGGGGCAAGAAAGGTGGTTCTGGTGGAGGTGGAGGCGGAGGTAGCGGAGGTAGTGGGGGTGCTGTTGCGACTGGGGGTGGTGGGAGTGCAGCGTCTGGAGAGACCCCTCGTGCAGCGGCTGGTGACTCCACTGCACCTGCTGGTGGCGGCGACCCCCGAGCTCGTCAATCGCCTCCTGCACTGCCGGCCCCGCTAGGTGGAGCAGCGGCGTGGTACCAGGCTCAGCGTCAGCAGCACCTTCAGCAGCAGCAGCAGCCCCTTTCCTCCCAGCAGGCTCAGCAGCAGCAGCGTCAGCAGCTGGCTCCGGGGTCGGGGCTGCGTCAGCCCCAGCGCGGTGCGGCTTACCCTCCCTGCCCCTACCAGGTTCAGACAGGTCCTCGTCGGGGCCACCCTTGTGGCCGCTTTCACCCCCCTGGTCAGTGCTTTGCTCAGCTCACTGACACGGTCCGGTTGACCTACGGGGTTGGCGGTCCTGCTCCTGACTGGCTTCCTCTGGTTCAGCGCTACGGCTCCGCTCTGTGGGGCATGTCTGCTGAGCAGTTAGTTGATCTGATTAGTGCTCCTCATGCTATGTATGCTGTTGTTGACTCTAGTGTTTCTGACTCTGTTTACTCTGGTGTTGTTAGCTTAGGTGCTAGTCTTGCTCAGTTGCCTGTTGCTAGTGTAGGTACTTGTGTAGAATCTAGACCAACGACTACCTCAGGGGACGCTTCGCTGTCGTTCACACTGGACTCTGGAGCCTCCCACTGCTTCTTCCGGGACAGCACGACACTTACACCACTTCCTGCGCCTGTTTCTGTAGCGTTGGCTGATCCCACTACCGGACCAGTCACTGCCCGTCACACTACCACTTTACCGTGTCCTGCTGCTCCCTCCGGGTCTCTCACTGGGTTTCACGTCCCCTCGTTCTCCCGGAACTTGGTGGGCGTGCGACCCCTCGTGAGTCAGCACGTGGGTGTGTGGTTTGAGCCTTCTGGAGAGACTGCGGTGTGTGTTGACGGAGACTCTTACCAGCCTCTTGCTACCTTTACTGCTGAGCCGGGCTCGGGTCTCTACACTCTTCACACTGGCCCGCGTGCGCCGCAGCAGCAGCCGCAGCAGCAGCAGCAGCAGCCGCAGCCGCAGCAGCAGCAGCAGCACCAGCGGCCGCACCAGCAGCCCCCCCTACTGCCACTGCCCCCGGTTCCCCCCCCCGTTCGGGTCCCCGTGTCTCACCAGGTTGCTTTGTCCCCCCAGGTGTCTGTGTCGTGTCAGGTTCTTACGTCTGTTCCAGTCGCTGCGTCGTGCTCCTGCCGGTCGCTTGCCCACCCCACCGTTCTGTGGCACCACCGGATGGGGCACCCGTCCCTTCCTCGTCTGCGCGCTATGTCTAGTCAGCGTCTTGTCCTAGGCCTCCCACGTGTCTTGCCGTCGCTGCCGCCTTCGCTTGTGCCGCCGTGTCGTCCCTGCGTCGAGGGTAGGCTGCGCGCCACCCCTCACTCCTCCTCCCTTCGTCCGGCCACCGAGCCTTTTGAGACGCTTCACTTGGACGTCTAGGGCCCCGCCCCTCGTCTAGGCCCTGAGCGTGAGCGTTACTTTCTGGTGGTCGTTGACGACTTCTCCCGCTACACCACAGTGTTCCCACTGGCGAAGAAGTCTGAGGTGACTTCTACACTGATCAGGTGGTTGCTCACCACCGAGGACACTCGTGGTCGTCGTGTCAGCTGTCTCCACTCCGACCGTGGGGGTGAGTTTCGCTCCGGCATTCTCGCTGGATTCTGTCGCGAGCAGGGCATTCGTCAGTCCTGGACGCTTCCAGAGTCCCCACAGCAGAATGGGGTTGCTGAGCGCCGCATAGGCCTGGTCATGGAGATCGCCCGCACCTCCCTGACTCACGCCTGTGCCCCCCATTTTCTGTGGCCCTACGCGGTCAGGTACGCCGCGCACCAGCTGAACCTCTGGCCACGTGTCTCTCGACCAGAGGTTTCACCGACCAGTCTTTGGACAGGGTCCCCTGGTGTTGCGTCGCGGTTTCGTGTCTGGGGGTGCTTGGCTCTTGTCCGCGACACCTCCGCGG